GTACAAGATAGAGCAAAACGGACGAAATTTTCGCCCAAAGGGTTCCACGTTCACGAGTTACCTCTTTGGAGCCCATAAAAAAATATTTTAAAAAAATTAAATATTTTGCAACCTTTTGTTTTTTATTTTTTCTAAAGTCAATTTTTAAGATAGAATGCTCATCTTCGAACTCGATCTGTCTTTTTATGATACAAAACGACCCTGAAAATCCCAGATCGCTCTCTCAGTTCATTCTCGAGTTATTGTGCGGACAGACAGACAGACAAACAAACAAACAGACAGACAGACAGACAGACAAACAGAATGAAACTTTTCTGGTCAGTGGAGTAATGGGCTTCGCTAATCGCTCAGCCAAAAAGTTAGCAGCATTGAATTAGCTGTCTCTGCTAATGGACATTAGCTGTCTTAGGTAAGCAGAGGGTGGTCAGGATTTATGTCTCGCTAACGTTTACGGTCACTATGTGACTGCTTGTACAAAAATCGCAGACTTAGCCACCTGGACGGCAGCCGTCCCAGGGGCGGAAGTCCACACGAATGTCACTCCTGGAGCCAGTGTATGGTTTAACGGGCGTGGCAGTTCATCAGCGAGAGCTAACGCAACCCGAAATTCTAGCCCAAACCTAAATTGTAAGAAAAATTAGCTGCCTTGCTAATTTATTCTGATAACTCTCTTCACTGTGTCGCTAACTTGATTTAGGTGCACAGCTAACTATTAGCCCAGTTGATAACCACCTTAGCTAGACAGCTAACCAATACCAGCTATCTGGAATTAGCTAAATTAGCTAACTTATTTTTCTGCGTGTATGAGACCATCCAATATTTTCGGAAATTTATTTTCGGGCCACTTTTGTGAGAGAAACTCCCTCTAGCGCCCAAACGGTAGAAGATAGAGCAAAACGGACGAAATTTTCGCCCAGAGGGCTCTACTTTTGCAAGTTACCCCGTAGGAGACCGTCTAATATTTTCTAAAATTAATATGTTTATTTTTGGGCCACTTTCGTGATAGAAACTCCCTCTAGCGCCCAAACGGTGAGAGATAGAACAAAACGGACAAAATCTTCGCCCGCAGGGCTCTACTTTGACGAGTTACCCCTTAGGAGATCATAAAAAAATATTTTTTTCTGACTTTTTTGACCTACCTTATTTTCTTCCCTTTTAGCCCTTTAGGGGTGGTTGCCAGGATTTGCCGTAGGCGTTTTGTTCTCTAGGAGTGGACCTTAAGATACCCTGAAAATTTCAAGTCTCTAGCACATCTCCTTCTAGTGGAACAGACAGACACACAGACACACAGACACACAGACAGACACACACGAGGTCGTTTGCATAAGCCCGCTGAATAGCTTTTTCAAAGCAGAAGGGCGGGCTAAAAATGAAACTAATTCATTTTTTCACCCAATCCATCATATACGTTTCCTTCCCATACTTGTTCGG